TTTTGTTCTAATCACAAAAAAAAAACACATTAATTTTAATTACTAAATTAGTTGTTGTTTATTATTATTGTATTGTACATTAAAAGCCTTTGTAAATATTTGCCCTCTAAGATATCTAAGAGATAACACACTCACACACCCACCCAACCACCCACACAATTGTATAAAGTCCACAGATTCATAAATTAATTTTTATGTTTTCCTTTTTGTGTACTAACTAAATGTTGATATAAAATTAATTAAAATTAAGTTTAAAAGTAAAATATTAAATATTTTGGCAATTTTTATTTCGAAACACAGTAATGAGGCGAGTTTCCCCAAGAGGTTTGAAATGCATATTAACGGTTTTACAGTTTTACAGGCACTAAGTGATGGGGTGAGAGAGCATACATACATTTCATGTATAGATGGCGCTAACAGTCACAGAGTTAGAAGTTAAATGAAATAGTTTAGTATGTGCACGTTTTAATGTTATCCTTCCATGGTAGAAGAATACAGGTAGATGCATCACCAAATCCCAGGTAGATTTTGGCCAAATCACTCTAGAATTATCGTGTGCAGTAGCCAGACAGACGGACGCTAGATCCTAATGTCCTGAAAGTGATTTGGTCCAAAGAGACCTAGGGTCTAAAACCGTTTTTTTCGATAAAAAACGCTTTGGCCGTAGGAGGTTATGACAATTCAATTCACAAATCCGTTTATGTAGGCCTTGGCGGAGGGTATAAAAACCGTGTAATCAATCGGAAAATGTTGAAAACTTACCATTTTGATTGTGCATTCATCATCTGTCACTAAAGAACATTCGAAGAGCAATGAAAACAATTAATGAGAAGGAGCATTAATACACATTTATCCTTATGAACTGAATTTTCACAATAAACCTCATTTCTACTTCTTCTCGCTTTTTCACAATTTATATTAAATATAAATTCAAAAAAATCTCCGTTTATAATTGACAATCAAAAAAAAAAAAAAACGAAAAAACTAAAACTAGCAATTGAAACAAAAAAATGAAAAATTTCCAATAAATTTTCAACAAAGACTTCAAACTATTGTTTTTAATCATATATAATTCTGACGCCGAATTTTATTGAAAATTCTATTAAAAAAATTTGAATACATAAACGTCTGAATGTTAAAAAAAAGCTTTAAAAAACATCGGTCAACTACGCCATTTGATTGAAACAATGCCTCAATGAAAGAGATGAACAAAAGCTTGGAGTGAAATTAAACGAAATCGAGAGACGAGAGTGAAAAAGACACACAAATGTTACATCAATGAAAGAATATCAGAAGATTACAAATATTTTATGAATATTGTCGCAATTATTGTTTATAAGGTGAGTTACATTTCTCATTAATCGTGTAATCTTTATATTATTTAGTTCACTTTTTTGGCTTGTTTATCATCTCCGTCTACGTGATTACCTTTGTACCGTTTAAAGGTCTTGACATCGTCTCTTGAGCTACCTTACCGCCATCTATATTTAACTAATTGTTTACAGTTTGACAAACTTATTTGGTTAGTTATTGTGATTGACTCTCGCCATGACCTTTATTGTGACAAATATATGAATAAAACTATTCGCCACTAGATGTCACCTACAACGATAATCGGAAATATTACCAAATAGTTTATATATAATTATTTAAGCATTACTCTATAGGTAATTATGGTAAAATTTTAAATCTTTTTTCTGTTTTGTTTTATGAAAATATGAAATGAAAGTAATTATACCCTCAGCCATATGGCTGAAGAGGGTATATATCATTTGATGCGGCCAAGACGCGCCCATCGAAATAACGGTTTTAGACCCTAGGTCTCTTTGAACCAAATCCGTTTCAAGAAAAATTGAAGAAGATCTAGCGATGTCCGTCCGTCTGTATATCTGTCTGGCAGATTGGTGCGCATGATAATTCTCGAAGGGAGTTTCCATTTTTGTCCATATTTGGTACATCGTAATATTTTTGTCTAACTTAGATCGAGTTCGGAGATGGACAATATCGGTCCACACCTTCTGGTACCTCCCACACAAAGGTCGAAATTTTCAAAAAATATACATATTCTGCACAGAAAGAGAAACGATAGTCCGATTTTGCTCCAACTTTGCAAATCCAAATATATGCGTCAATGCTAGGTCAGGGGAGAAAATGGACAATATCGGTCCAATCTATCAAGTACATCCCACACAAAGGAACAAAATTTTGAATAATTACAACTCTTATAAAATGTTATATAAGAGTTTCATTGTCTTTAAATTTCACTCATCTTGAAAATATTATTAAATTAAGGTCTGGCGTTAAGATGGAGTATATCGATCCACTCCTTCAGTTACCTCCCACACAAAAGGTCGAAATTTTCATAAAAAAAAATATATTTTCTGCACACAAAGAGAAATGATAGTTCGAATTTGCTCCAACTTTGCAAACCCTAATATGCGTCAGTGCTAGGTTAGGTCAAAAATGGACAATATCGGTCCACACAAAGGAACAAAATTTTGAATAATTACAACTCTTATAAAAGTGTGATGTAGGAGTCCGATTGTCTTCAAATTTCACACATCCCAATAATTTTATTAACTAAAGGTCTAGTATTAAGATGGAATATATCGGTTCACTCCTTCTGGTACTTTCCCCATAAGGGGTCAAAATTTTGAATAATAACCCGAAACTAACATCCGATTTCATTCAAACTTGGCACATCTCAATATTTCCATCAACACAATATCTGTTATAAATATGGTAGAGATCGGACCATTCGTTCGGGTACCTCCCCCACAAAGGGTTAAATGTTTAACCCAAGGTCTGGTGTGAAGATGGGATAAATCGGTCCACTCCTTCCAGTACCTCCCCCACAAAGCGTTAAATTTTTGACCTCTCGTGGTATCTCCTATATACCGTCAACATTTTTAATTATCATATTGTAAGTCTTAACTTATTTTAATGAACTGGCATAGTCTGAGGGTATACATCTGTCGGCAAAACCGACTGATATTTTTTAACTTGTATATATTTAGGTCCGACACGAAATAGACAATATTGGTCCATTCCTTCGCAAACTACTCCATAGAGGATCAATAATGTGGATAATCATAACAGGAGGCAAAATATATTTAAATAATAGAACATTGGCTGAGGGTATACATCTGTTGGGAAAAGCGACTGATCCTTTTTAACTTGTAATATGGCATAGGTTGGACAGGGTCGAACTTTGATTTTTATATCCTCCACCACTCGGCTTTTAATTTAGCCTGAGCGAATATGCGTTTAAAGAGAAAGTGCAGAAGAGAGCGTAAACTCTCCTCCACAATGCAAATGTGTTTCCTAAATGAGAGACAAACCAGGTCACCCAATAATTTTCAATGTAGGCCAACCATTTTTTATAGTTTCTGGACTTTTGGTTTTGACCCCAATCTCCGACCGTTGATAATTTCACATTTCGGGTTTTTCAAAAGAAAAGGATATCTCCTTTTACTTATTTTATTTCTATCTGAAATTGTTCCTGCCTTAAAGAGAGGTCAAGTAATGCGAATAATTGGAATGCTGGGGAAAAGGAGAAATCAACTATAAATTGAGATTTCGGTCTCTCTCCCTAAAAAAACAAATGCATTACTTTTATACCCTCCCCCATGTATATTAAGTTTGTCATTACAGCTTAAGTTTGTCGTTACACCTCGAAATATTCATTTTAGACTCCACAAAGTATATGTATTCTTGATCAGCATAAAATTCTATGTCAATTTAGCGGTGTCCGTCCGTTTGTCCGTCTGCGGAAATTACTCTAGCTTCCGAACGAATTGAAGTAGATAAACAAAATTTTACTCAAATGTATATTATGTCTTCAGTTTTGGTATTGAAAATGGGCCATGTAGATCCACGTTTTGGTATAGCCCCCATATAACGTTTCCTCCCGATATTCGGAATTTTGATGATTTTAGCGACATTATTCACCGGAATTGTTTCAAATTTACCGTTGTAAGTTCGAAATGGATACTACAGCCTAAGACATAAAAATTGTCTGTGCAGGTCCACGTCTTCGTATAGCCCCCATATAACAGTACCAGCCGATATTCGGTATTTTGATGATTTTAGGGACATTATTCATCGGAATTGTTTCAAATTTGGTATTTGAAGTTCGTAATGGATACTATAGCCTAAGACAGGTCCAGGTCCAGATCTTCGTATACAACCCATATATCGGTACCTCCCGATATTCGGTGTTTTGATGATTTTGGCGGCATTATTCACCGGAAGTGTTTCAAATTTGGTATTTGAAGCTCGTAATGAATACTACAGCCTACGACAGAAAATTGTCTGTGCAGGTCCAAGGTTTCGTATAGCCCCCACATAAAAGATCCTCTCGATATTCGGTATTCGAATGATTTTAGCGACATTATTCACCGGAAATTCTTTCAAATTTGGTATTTGAAGTTCGTAATGGATACTACAGCCTAAAGCAGAAAATTGTCTGTGCAGGTCCACTTCTTCGTATAGCCCCAATTAAAGTTACCTCCTTTAATTGATATGATATATATGATATTTTTGCTACATTATTCACCGAAATTGTTTCAAATTTGGTATTTGAAGTTCGTAATGGATACTACAGCCTACGCCAGAAAATTATCTGTGCAGGTCCACGTTTTATAACCCCCATGGTACCTCCCTATATGCAGGTCCACGTCGTCGTATAGACCCAAATATAACGGCTATATTCGGTATTTTTAATTTTAACAGAATTTTTAAAGGATTTTATTTTTTTGAAAATTATTAAATTTGTACCAAATGGTGGAGGGTATTCAAAGTTCGGTCCGGCCAAACTTATAGCTTTTTTACTTGTTTTTTTTTTTTTTTTTTTTGAAAGTTTCCTAATTTTTTCCAAATACTGAAGGGCATTCAAATTTCGGCCCGGCCGAACTTACTGCTTTTTTACTATTTTTTTTCCAAACTTTATCCTTTCATTCCAATCAACACCATTCAGTTTCAAATAAATTTATTCAACATTGAGATAATATATATTTTATTGATATTTCAATATATTATTTTTGTTTACATTTTTTATTCTTTTATGGTATATATTTATTTGTTGTTGTTGATATTTTTCTTGTTGTATAGTACATGAATGTTAGACATTTTATTTACAAAACTCATTTATTTATTTGTTGTTGTTGTTGATTTTCGTTGACATGTTAGTCAGTTTTCTTAGAAGAGACAGCAAATAAGGTTAAAGATATATTTTTTTTATTTAGAAAGGCGGAAAAAAGTAGGATGTGGAGTTTTGGGGCGGCTTTCAATGATAGGAAGTTGGCGACTAGTTTGTCTTCCAGGTTCAAAGGGGGTGAAGGAAATTTTTTTTATTAAATTATATTTTTCTTGTTTTTTGTTGGCTCTGTTGACAATAAACCGCGAATGCACAAGCGTTGAGGACAGTTTCTGATTCTTCGTCTACTTGCTTTGGGATTTCCTCCGGAAACGACTTAGTAATTTTATAATTTATTTATTTTTTATTGTTTCTTTATATTTTTGTTTTGCTCGAATGACACCGATAACACATTTAGTTTTTTTATTTTATTTTTACTGGCTAAAATTAATATTTTTTGTGTTTTTTTTTTTAATTTAACTGAACTTAGATTTAATTTTTCTAAATTGTGTGGTTACATATTTTCTGTTGATTTTATATATATAAATACATAAGTGTGTTTGTTAAATAATTGTTTTGAAACATTGACATCGATTTTTTTAAGGATTTTTTTTGTAAATTTTATTTGATGCAGTTTATTATTGATAATGTTTTGCAAATGACACTCAATCTTTTACAACTAAAAATAAGGAGGCTACACCTAAAAATATTTCTTTTAATAATTTTTTTTTCATGAAACAAGAAAAAATAAATTCTTGGAATTTTTATTTTCTTTAGTATTTTTTTTATATTAACATTAATTTATTTTTTATTATAAATAATTAATATTTTTGGCTGCCTTAGAATTCATCAGTTTTTATTTTTGTTGTTTGTTATCCCTTCAAATGAAACTATCTCCATTAGAATATTCCCGAATTGTTGCTTTGGTTATGCTTTTATGGTAGAGGGTGTTGCAGGTTAATTGGTTGGTTGCTTGATATGACTTGGCGTTTGAAGTCACATTTCAAAGGAAATTTTGGCTGGAAACAAAAGAAAATCAAAAAAAAAAAAAAAAAAAAATCATTCGGGGGAATTTCCTTTGAACTATTCTTCAACTAGCCCTTGGAAGTCTAGACACTGCTCACTGGCACTTAACGACGTCCCAGACCAAAACCATAGGGCCGGGAATAACTTTGGCCACCATCGGAGCGTTTGCCCAAACCAAAGCTGTAGGGACGATTGCGTTTGTCATCTGTACAGAAAAACAAAATTAAAAGTAATTTGAAAATATTTCTACGGCTTTACTCATTTCTACACATACCATTCATAGTTCCGAATCCTGCCAACATACCTCTGGCTGCCATCAGATTGGCATTTTCTGCCATTTGCTCATAATCATCATAGTCGAAACGTTTGCCCAAACCAAAGGAATAGGGGCGGGCCCTCTTGCCCAATCCAAAGTTATAGACCGGCAGACGTTTGATGCCATTACCGCCATTTGTATAGGTGTATGCACGTCTGCCCAGGCCGAAGGCATAACGTTCCACTCTCTTGTCCAAATTGTCCTTGGCCACATCCGAGTCGGCACTACTGGCATCCACATTTGTGTTGAACAAAGAATTGACACCGTCTGAGGCTGCCACCTGGCCATTATCGCCCGCATCTTCATTGTAGTTGTTGTGTTCACCAAAGGCCACACTCAAACAGCAGGCCAACATCAAGAGACTGACAAAACACTTCTTCATTGTGGTAGTGTGTGTGTGTCTTTTTGGGAGCGAAACTGGACTGGGTAGCTAGAAGTAAACAAAATTTTTAAGGTATTTAGTAAAGCGTTTTCTTTATCTTCGAGCAGGGGGATGGAGGGGTTTGTACTAAATGATGCTTGACGATCACTTAAAACTAAATGACCATTGATTTGACAATGGATTTGTCAATATCCAATATTGATATAACATGAAATGACCATATGACCGTACGGAAAATCTCCAATTCCAGGGATGTCTCAAGGGCAGAGGGTGTGTTTGCATGTTGCCTCGTTTTCTCTGAATTACATAGCCAAGTCATTAGTTTTATTAAATTCCATGTGATAAATTGAAAACGTTATTAACATTTTGAGGTTTGGTAATTGCAGAACAAGAAATTTTGTTGCAATTCAATATTTAAAAGATAACAAATTAAAAAAAAAAATACGTTTAAATTTGTCCCGGCGGAAACAAAATAAGAATCCTCCAACAATTTGAAGGTACTTGAACATTAAAAAAAAATCCGTAGAAAAATTTATATTAAATGAAACCCCTTATATATAGACCTTGACATAAGTTTGATAAAAACCATTACATTTGGTGGGATTCAATATATTTCAAAATGTTAATCATTTGTGGGAGTTTCAAGAAGGACTTAACATATAGAAGTCTCTTCAATTAATTTCGATTATCTTAGAGACCATTGAAAATTGCCAAAACACCAAAAAACTCGCTCGAATTCAAATAAAGTGTATAAATCTCTCGAAGTGGGAGCACTCCCTAGGATAGTAAAATAAAACGAGCAAACTCTATTCTTCGGTTTCGCTTGAATAAGGGAGAGCCTGCTTTCTTCGTCTTAGAGTGGGAACAAACTTCCGAGAGCTCTTTGTCATACATTCAATGTGTATTTTCACGAGCACAGCACAGTTCACAGTAACATTAAAACTGGTTTGCTCTTACACACACCCGCTCGATTTCACACTTAAAGCAAACCCTCACTCTATTTCGAGCGTTTCGGATTCTTCTTCAATTTTTATATATTATCATACATAATAAAAGAGAGAAGATAACACTTCGAACGAACGAACAAATCAATGCCAAGATAACAGCCATTGTAACATTGTGACAGAGTCTCATACCATTAGTAGTGGTATGAGACTCTCTCGCCCTGCCATATCAATGGCAAATGAAAATCGAGAGAGTATACGTGTGCTTTGTTTATACTTTTTCGTTCGAGGGTGCTCATAGCTGCCTGATTATCACACATTCCATACGAATTATGAGTCAATTTGTCATTAAACATTTAAATATAATTTCGGACATATGGTCATTCCGGACATATGATCATTGATCACCTTTTCAAGCTTTGAGGACGTATTTCAGCAATGATTTGCAATTAATGTAAAAGAGAAAATTTCATTGTCATTGCAGCACTGAATTTTGTGCTTCAAATTTTGTGAAAATCGGTTCAGATATAGCTATATATATGTTTCATCCGGTTTTGGTGTTTAAGTCCCTTACATTCTTTATATGCACTCCACAATACTGAAATTTAGCAGCAGATATCAGATACAGCCTAGCAATTCATAGATCAAATTTTATCAAGTTCGGTCCAAATTTAGATATAGCTCCCATATTTATCTTCATCCGATTTTAGGTTTCTTGTGCACCAAATGGCTAATATATTTCAAATGGTGTGAATTTTGGCCCTCCCGGCCAAATTTAATATAAAAATAAGTACTTAAAATTTGGTGGAAATCGGTTCAGATATAGCTATAGCTCCATATATATATGGAGGGCAACCCTGTACAGTACCTCCCGATATTCGGTATTTTGTTGATTTTAGCGGCATTGTTCACCGGAATTGTTTCAAGTTTGGTATTCGAAGTTCGAAGTGGATACTATAGCCTAAAAGAGAAAATTGTCTGTGAAGGTCCACGTCTTCGTATAGACCCCATATAACGGTATATCCCGATATTCGGTATAATAATTAATTTGGGGACATTATTCACGGTTTTTTTTTTAAGTTTCGCACTTGAATATTGTAAAGGCTTATGACAAAAGTTGCCTATGCAGATCCATGCCATCGTATAGACCCTAATATACGGCTACATTCGATATTTTTAAATTTTTAACAGAATTTTTAAAGGATTTTATTGTTTTTGAAAATTGCCAAATTCGTTCCAAATGGTGGATAGTATTCAAAGTTCGGTCCGGCCGAACTTACAACTGTTCTACTTATTTACAACTGTTAAGTACATACAATTTAGTTTGTGAAATCTGCCAAATTAATAATGTACTTATTGCCAAATATTACATAAACCATCATTGATTTACCAACAACGATCAATGTTTTGATCCCTTAAACACAGCCCCTCATCTTATCTTCCCCATGTCCACAAAAATTTAACAAAATATTTTTGTTTCAAAGGCGGTCACACAATCCACTTTGTCCGAATTCCAATCAATAACTTCGTAATCTTGTTTGTAATGGCCTTTGGCTGATAGATTACATCTTTAGTTGTTATGTTTTGGCATTTAGCAGTCATTTGTTTTTGTTTCATTACAAATAAATTGACAATTTAAAGCACGAAATGAAAATCAAATAAAATCCCAGTTTTTGGCAATGACCAGACGCCATAGAATAAGTGGATTACGAGCTCATTGGGGATGCCATAAATCAGAGTTTTGAGAAATAAGATTAAGAGTTAGGAACCGTTTGAGTGGGACGAAAGATTCGCAAAATTTCGAATTTAATTCAAATAAAAAAATTCAACAACTAATAAAAACAAGTCAGTCGGGTTTGCCGGAAGATGTACACCTTGAGTTATGATTATTCAAACTGTTGACCCTTTATGGGGTAGGTTTCGAAGCGAATGGACAATATTGACCAATTCGTATCGGACCTAAGACTGATAAACATATTACAACGTGCCAGATTTGGACTATATCGACTACTTCCTTCACCTTATACAATATACAAATTTTTGGAAAATGTGGAAACATGCGTGGTTTAACAGATATAGCGGACCGAAGCTTTATATTTACATACATCATCTAATACAGATAAAAATATTGGTACGTGCAAAATTTGATGAAAATCGAACAAATATATCTAATTTTATGGCAAATCATAAATTTAGATAAATTATATTCATGTCAGATTTCTGGGTAGGAGAAATATTTTCGCAAGTTATGACAGATATAGGTATGATAACAGATATACAGGGTGAGATGAAAAAGCTGCAACCAATTTCAGACTGCTGTCATTTCTAATCCTCTCGTTCGACAGGTGTTGAAATTATTCCAGTGACAGCTCACTATATTGTTTACAAGCGTACAAAAGCATTTTGGTGAGAATTTTCCAGAAAAAAACTTATTCGTGATGAAATTCAAGCGTGATAGTGTGATTTCTTTATATTTGGCTGGAAAACAACAAGTGGCTATTGTTAGAGCACTCCAGCATTTAAATGTGAATAAATATTTTGTGTCTCGTACCATCGCTCGTTACCGTGATACTGGTAGCGTAGCCTGATGTCAAGGAAGTGGACGGAAAAAAACAGCAACGTCAGCAGAAATGATTCGAAAAAGAAAGAAGCGACTTGATCGAAACCCGTGTCGCATTGGCCGCAAAATGGCTCGTGAGCTGAACATATCCAAATATTCCATTCGACAATTGAAAAATGGGCTCGGGGTAAAGCCATGGAAATTCGAAAAAGTGCAAGAACTTACACCGCAACAGAAAGAAAATAGACTCAAAAGAGCTAAAGAGTTGCTTCGCTTGGCCGAAAGTGGTGAACTGCCGAATTTGGTTTTCTCCGACAAGAAAACATTCGTTGTCCAGCAGTTTGTAAACAAACCAAATGGTCGTGTTTACTTGCCAAAGAGGTCAGCTGAAAATATGCACCTTCGGTTGGCCACCAGAACTCAAGAGCCGGCCATGGTGATGGCATGAACCGCCATAACAGCCGATGTTCGCTCTCCGCTCGTATTAATCGATCGTGGCATTAGAATAAATGCCGAATATTATCCCGAAAATATTCTGGAGGATGTATTAAAGCCTTGGGCATGCAGACCTTGTACCTTCCAACAGGATCTCAGTGCCATCGCACTCTGAACGCGCCTCTCAAGAATGGTTACAAAATGAGATTCCTCGCTTCATTTCCAGCGCACAATGACCACACAAAATCTCCGGATACCAATCCGTTGGACTATTGTTTCTAGAGTGTTTTGGAAAGCAAGGTTGGCACCAAAAAATACCAAAGTGTCGTTCACCTCAATCAAGCGCTTCGCCGGGAATGGGTCAAAATACCGCAGAGCAACATTCGGGCAGCGTGTGACGGTTTCATTGGCCGTTTGAAAGCCATACTTCGTGCCCAAGGTGACCAATTCTAACAAATCTGAACTTATTCTAAAATTTGATGTTATTTCCGACATTTTTTGCTTTCATTCAATAAAATTTAAAGAAAGCAAAGATTATGGCGTTTGACTTTGTTGCAGTTTTTTATCTCACCCTGTAGGTAGAAGGGGTTAACAGATATATATCATCTTCACAACAGATCTTGCATAAACAATAATATTTGGATGTGTGAAATTTTTAGGAGAGTTGGATACATATTTCGCTTTCTTTAGCGTTTTGTTTTTCAAAAATCTTGAACTCTTTGCGGAGGAGGTACCAGAAAGAGTGGACCGATGTTTCCAATTTTCTCACCAGACCTTGGGTTATTAAAAAAATTTAAAGTGTGTAATTTGAAGATAACCGAATGCTGATTTCGGATTTTATGATCGTTTGGTTTATTCAAAAATTCGACCCTTTATGGGAGAGTTACAAGAAGAAATGGTCCGATCTCCAACGTCTTTATAACAAATCTTGTGTTTTTTTTTGAAATATTTAGATGTACCATGTCTGTATGGAATTGGATTTTAAATTCGAGTTTTATGAGCTTCATGGTTATTCCAAATGTTACCATAAGTTACCATAAGGAGTGGACCGATTTATTCTATTTTGACACCAGAAAATGGGTTAGTAAACCATGTTTAGTACCAAGTTT